CAAGGCCAGGTTGGACGGGGCTCTGAGCAACCTGATCTAGTTAGCGGTGTCCCTGCTCACTGCATGGGGGTTGGACTAGGTGACCTCTAGGGGTCCGTTCCAACCCAAACCATTCTATGATGCTATAAAAGAGAAATCTGCTTGGGCAGATCAAGGCAGCCAGCTGTAGACCTGGCCTAGAGAAGTCTACAGTTAACCTTTATTTTTGCTAGGGTCTCTCTATTTTCCATTTAGAGGATACACTGTTCTTTAAATTATACCTGGCCAGTACTTCTATCTGCTTTTTTTTTAATTCAAGGAGGGTTTTCATTACTGTGCCACTGATTAATTATAATTCCTCCACAAGAATTTATCCTTTAAAACTGATCTTTCTTCATATCACAATAAAACTGTCGGTCTCTTGATAACACGAGCACTGAACTTAAATCCCAGGCACAGGCCAAGTAACAGCATTTGCATTTCTTTATGCTTTAGCGGAAGAAAGCTGTCTAAGCCCTGTGCTCACTCTGTGTCTTCTAGTCTGTGATAAACACACCCATTAATGCAGTTCTGTGGGTTACCCAGCCCATGGGGCTTTGAGGTTTAATCTAACACATTTGTGTTCTTGCAGGTTGCTTACATACAGCGATACGAAACGCACAACTCCTGATTGCTAGCATCAAAATCTCCACACAGTCTTGAATAAAAACCTGTTACTTTGAAAGTTTATTCCAATCAGATTTTTATTTCAGGACCAAGAGACAGAATTCAGCCTTATTTTAACAAGTTCCTCTTTTGTAAGTGTTTGTAACTTCTGTCCCATGACATTCTGTATTTCCTGCTTCTGCTCTGCCTTTTTATGGCACATCTCACTTGCTGCTCTTGTTTTGAGTCCAGCATCAGGCACCTGGAATAAACGTGTTCACTGTTCCCACAGTCATTTTGAACCCCATTAGCAATGATGACACGTATGACTACCCATTTTATAAAGACACCAAAGCACAGAGGGCTTACAGGATAATCTGAACAAGGGTTGAAGCTTTCAACGGGATTTGCAGAATGAAGGCACCAAAGGCCTGTACAGTGATCCTACAAGCTACTGCTCAACCCTTACCCAAGCTGGAGGCACCTCAGGCTTTCCTTCCGTCAGACTTCCTCAGCTGTCCACAGTGATACTCTTGCCCAAACCCAGAACTGTCCCAGCATGGAAAAGACTGATGACTTTGTGCTTTCTCTTACCTGAGCCAGGTACGGCATTCTTCCACCTTCACCCTTCCAAGCTCAGTCCAATCGTTGTTCTCAGAGTTTAAGTAAACCCATGGAAACTGGATCAGCACCTCTGAAGGGGCAGTTCCTGCTGCCGGTTTTAAGACACAAACAGTGTTGCTCCCCCATCATGTGCCCCTGTGTCTAGCAGGGTAATGTCCCAAATACTCGCTTAGGCATGCAAAGCCATTTCTGCTGGGGATCACCGATTTCAAGGAAATCATCCAAAACACCGGGTTGTAGTCTCCTCACTCCTCACAGTGTATTGCTCGCACCCCTTTAGCACACTTCCGGCTTAACCCAGGATCACCGATTTCAAGGAAATCATCCAAAACACTGGATTGTAGTCTCCTTTGCACAGTGTATTGCTCCCACCCCTTTAGCACACTTCCGGCTTAACCCGAGTACTCTGGCTGAACCCCAGTACAAATACACACAGGACTGTGGTTCTCTCACTTCTAGTCCCTGCTTCCAGTATTGTTTCAGTACGTTACAGTAAGCAGAGAAAAATAAAATCATGGTTTCAGTTTGGTGCCTGAGGTGATCTCTTACTTGAAACATGCCTTAGGTCATCGGTGGTCTTTTTTCTTTTTCAGAGCAGTCTATTTTTTTGCCTAATTGCACCACCTGCAAGAGTCTAGCACCATCCATTCAGTCCAGCTAAAAGAAGACAGATTGCTATTTGCAATCGAAATTTTGATACTGTGGCAACATGGTCATTTTTCTATAGAAAACAACTTTGAAAAGCTGTGATTTGGCATGTTGACTTCATCATAAATGGCAGGCTGGCTTTACTATTCATTTCACAGGTGGTCGAGAAGCTACAGTAAAAAATGTTTTTCCTCTTAACTTTTCTGTAACCTCGGAGTGAGGCATAATGGCTGAAAGTATGCATCTACTGAATTAGCAGAAAGGGAAAGGCAAAGAGAGGAGAAACAACTGTAACAGTAATTACATTATTTTTTTAACAGGAGTTCCAGGGGGCATTTAAGGAACTACCAAACAGTAAACATGACATCGATGCCAGGTAAGTTAATAGAGTCTCTAGCAGAGGAATCATCGTGAACACGATGTAGCATGTCAGAGAATGCAAACAATATATCATTCCTGAATATACCTGTATAATAGTATACTTAATTTTCATATCCTTCTACGCCATGTAAGGGAATAAATGCAAAACATTAACAAAAAGTCCTACAGCTCTGTAAGGGACAGTCATGTCTCACACCTCTGCAGGAGTTCTTCGTATGTGCGACTGAGGTTGGTACAGGTAGACTCCATCCACTTGGATTTATTTCCAAGAGGCATTCAATCAGATGCATCTGCAGCTGCTCTTAAAAAAAACCCCACAGCTCTCCTGGGTTAAAAGGAAGGCTTGTGCCTTGATCCCTAACTCTTGAATGAGGTATACGCAAAAGAGGCTTTTGCAGTGCAGAAGGGTCTTCAACAAAGCACAGAAAGCATCTGGCTGGGGTCTGCGCTCTTCAGCACATTTGGAAATGTTTGAGAAAGGAGATAAATAGTGTGGCGAAAACTTTGCCAGTGACAGTGCTATTCCTTTGGCAAGCGCACAGTTAAACTGCAAACCACCTTGCCAGGGAATGGTGGGTATGCTACAGGTGCACATGCACTCTTACCGCCCCTCTGTCAAACACTTGTGCACATCTGAAAATCTTCACTCAGTGTGAGTCCCATGAGGCACTCTCTGTGTTAAGGAACTTCATTGCATTGCAAGGGTAGGCTTTGAGAAAGAAAAACATGATATAGTCATTAGAGCAGCCTGTCTCCTGTGTGCCTGTCATCACCATGACAGCACAAGGCGATTCTCAGCAGCCAGTACAAACCTGTCCTGTGTCATCAGCTTCGGAGAGCATCTCGTGGTGCCTTATTCATGCTGGTTGATTCTCTGAACTGGATCTTGCTAAAGGTTATGATTGGAAAAGTGCTATGCTCCTCTTTTTTTGGTAAGCATCTCTCCTTTAGGATTTAGGTGCTGCAAAACAATTCTTATTTTAGTTAATTTTGGTCATGTCGGTGCTTGTCCATTAACTCCTGGCAGCGCAGCTTCCCTTGGAGTTGCTATATTTAGATGACTTTATTGATGTGTGAAACACAGAGAGGAAAATGAAAAGCATGTCAGCATGCAGGAATAAAAGTCATCAATTGCATGGATCACAAAGAATAAAAATGTTTGATAGTTTAATACTAGAAAAATGAGTGCAGATGAGTCATCCTCACAGTAAGACTACAGACAGCTGGATTGTGAGAGTATTATTCTGTTCTCCTTTCCTTCTTGTAATGAGAACTATGTGTCATTGTCTCATATACTCTGCAAA